TTTATGGCATTTCTCTAAATTGGGAAAAATAAGTAAAGAACAAAACCTAACAGAGACTTCATTATTCGAGAATAATGGAAATATAATAGATAACTATGGTTTATCAAGACCTATTTACTTCATTTAAGCTTCTAACCTTGTTAATGATTACCTTTACTGATAGAATGAACTTACATACTATTTTGTAACATATGTAGACCAGACCAATACTGTTTGTTAAGATAAACCAATATGTGTCAAAGTGAATTAGACCCAGGCGCGATTCAACGGTTAGTGTGCCGACTTTGAATCCGGAATTTCTTGGTTCATGCCCCGTTACCGTCCCCCCCTTAAAAAAATAAAATGAATAGCGTAGCCCAAGAGTTGGCGGTGGTTGGTGTTGACTAGCTGCCTTCCTCTAGTCTGTCACTTCAAAATCAGATAGGCCCTCGAGTAGCTTTACGCGAAATTCAAAGTGATAACCTATTAATGTATTTACACGTCGGAAGCAGAATATTGGAGAGGGGGAGACAACCTGCAGTGAATCAAGCTTGTCGAAAATGTGGCTGTCAAAGGTAGGTGGAAACTAAATGGATTTGGGGGAAAGGTTCCCCGGGAAAGTTAGGCTTATTGTTATGTGTCCAACATATGATAGGAATTATAAAAAAAATCATAAGTAAAATCAATTTGAAAATATGCAGTTCAACTTACATGGCCTTCAATTTTTACCTTTATCTCTTTATCATACGTTTTCAACTCTTTGTCTCGAACTGTTAATTTTCATTTTATAATATAGATCTGTTTATTGTCATTATTTTGTGTTTAACACCAGTAAAATTGAGAAAGTCGTAAACTTATCAAAATTTATGGGAGGAGGGGCTGGATCTTTTGTATTAGAGCTGGACTTTTAGGAATAGTCTCTGCTTTTCCTGATGCCTATGACAAAAGGCCACCTTATATAATAGGGTGGGAACTGTAAGATGTTCAATTTATGATTATGATCTATTTTAGTATTTTCTTTTATTTCCTGTTTTTGAACATAAGGGACATAAGGAAATGTTCAGGAAATATAACTCTGACAATTCATATTATCACGCAATTGTTTAAGTTTTGTTCGCATTTCTTTTAGAAGGATTCCCATAAAATACAACCTATTACCATAAAAGGCGATGAGACAAATGTAACCAGATTAATCGCCTCGGGGTATTATACGGCTCATGTAACAAAAGCATTACTATTACAATCCAGTCTCGTTACCTTAACTTTACTATTTATGGCAAATTCCCTTATGGATATCATGTTTCGAAAAAAATATAATTCTTAGAAATATGTTACAATACGAAACTTCACTGGAGCTTAACTGTGTGTTAACTCAAAGAAGCTAAGGTAGTTTTGACATTATGAGTTTATCTCTAGGAGCCAGGGAAAATTATCAGTTTTTGTTGTCGGTAGTTAAATCCCCTGTGGGAAAACTAGAATATTACCAGTTTTTTAGTAAGTAATATGTATCTGGTTCTCTATCCAATCAGGCGTAATGTTATTCAAAATTTTAACTGATATCCTCAGTGCTAAGTAATAAAATATTCTTAAACATTAATCGGGCAGAGCTGGAAGAGATTTGATGGTGGAAGCAGAGGAGGGGGAAGGTTCTGAAATGAAACAAAACTGGATACTAATTATGTCAAGATACGTCAGCTGCAAAAACCTGCCCATGTAGCTGTTTTGCAATCGGAGAAATTTTTTTTATTATATTGTTATGCTTTCAACTCTAAAATAAACAGTTTCACAATTGGATTTGGCAAAGCGTGGACTATTGCTTAACTTGCCCGGACTATGAACTCTAGAATTCGGTAGAGTTCCGTTGCTGCGAAACGTACTCCGCCCTTCAGGGCCGTCGGTACAATATAAGAGCCTTCGTCAAATCCTACTATTCCGTAAAACAAGAAAAAATAGTCCATGACTTGATGGAGGGTATAGTTGACTAGCTGTCTTATCTCGGTGCGATTTCTCCCTTTAAAACCTTTACTTTATCGGAGTTGATAGAAGAAGAGGCCAACTTTTAACTGTTAAGTACGATAGAACTTAATAGTAGGAATCAACAAGGATTCCAAATAATTCACGCACCGAAAAACCACCCTATTGAATTCCGAAGCGAAAACCAACCATTGAAAGTATTTGGTTACGATATATATTATGCGCACATATAATAATAATAATACGCTAAAAAGGTCGCTTTCATTTCCGGTATAACAATTCGAAAATTTCTAAAACAGCAACTTTTTCGTCTACTGATCATGTCAGTGGGGCTAGCTCCAAAACGGCTTGGACTACCACTACAATATTTTTCCAGCTTAATTGACTGGTCTGTAGGTATTCGCTTTTAATATTCCGATAAATACATATATATATTATTTTATAAATGGTAAACATATCATGTAGTACCTAAATATCTTTTCAAACCAACAGATGGCGCTACGTACCGATGCATAGACATGCGACAGTTTTTAAAGTTAAAGTATATACTTTATACAGGTATAACATAAATAGTAAACAAACAAGAGTATTACAAAATCACGAATTTAAAATGAAGTAGAGATCCTGCTACAAAAAGTAATGAAGCAAGAGTTAAAACCACAATCACAAATTTATAAAATGTAATCCCTACTTTGGCAGCTTTATACACTTATCTGTAGACCAAAGCAAGGATTACATTTTATGAATTTGTGATTGTGATTTTAATTTTTATAAAAGTTATAGCTATCAAGGATATGGCTGTACTAAAAGTTTATAGATATTGTATCCATTTGTATATAAAACTGAAGAAACAAATAGGAAAAGAAATTAATGGAAAGCAGAGATTATTGATTATTTGTAGAATTGCTATAAGAAGTATCCGAAACAAAATAAATGCTGCAATAAAAAGTATGCAAACAAGTAAAGTCATACTAGTTGGATATATTTTAAGACGATTTTCAATTCCTATATTAGTTGGCAAATTTATACTGCTTCATTCAGCTATACAAATCACAATGGGCATTGTAGAAGTATCAAACTAGTATAAAACGCTTATGAACATTGTGTGGTGTAAGCTGTCACATATTTCAGTCATCAAAATACATATACGCATCTTGATTAGCAAACCAACTGTAACAAACGTATCACAGCACATGATCAACAAACACTTGACAAATACGAAAATGTTTTCCGAGTGAGAAAACTTAGATTTAAATATAACACCATTAATGTAATTGACAAAACTGATCACACAGACTGTTTCTTGTTTTAATATTTGGTTGTGCCCACTCTGGTCTTGATAACTACTTAACATCATCCTGGCATAGAAAGCACATGGGACTGAATTTAGACAGGGGCGAGTTCATGATGCTACACGTGGATTATGACTTCCTGCAGTTCCTAGGTGATTCTTGGTTTTTCTTCTCTTGCACTTTTTAAACCCATTACCTCCCAAAACTTTCGATAGAGTTGAGACCTGGTCTCTTTTCGAAGATAGTCCTTCACTGAAGCAATGAAATAAAACCCCAAATGTCTTTTCAATAAATGTAGAATGAAATTTCCTCTTTATTTCACTTCTACTGTATAGAGCACATAAATCTTACCAATATTTTTAGCCCTGTGGCGTAGAGCAATAATCATAGAAGGTACACTGCTCTGCTCCACCAAAGTGATCCCAAAGTTGCGTTGAAACACGCTAGATGAAACTTCTCCACATCAACGTCGTACAAAGTGCTTCCTATCAGTTCTGTGCAGGTTGGACTTTGTTTAATCTGAGAAGATCACTTTTCTTCTCATTGTTTCAGTCCAGTCAGCATGCTCCTTGGCTCAGATGAGCCTCATCTAGCTGGTAAGTAGAAGTTTCTTTTTAGACTGTCTTGCTGGGAGACTGGCTGAAAACAGGAGAGACCTGGCGGTACACTCGATTAACATAACCTCTAAAGTTTCTTGCCATGTTCTTTTCAGATCTGTGGTCCGATAATCAACGATTCTGCAGACTCGTGTGTTTCAGAATATGATTGTCATCTGTTATGGAAGCTTGCTTCTTCCCCCTTCCCTTCTGCCACTCCACACAGCCAGAACCTCTATATCTCTGCGGCCAGGGGCTCACATTACTGTTTAAATTTAATTATTTTAGCAGTTCGCACCTACATGCATTAGGGCCTCAAAACAGAGGATGATTCCAATAAAAAATGTGAAAGAATTGGGTGCTGCAATAAATGTTTTCACCATTGTAAGTTCGAATTGAACTTTAGCAGGAACTGTGTCCATGTTTTGACATAATAAAGTTAAACAAGTACGAAAAGTAATATAATATAGAGGAGGTATTCCTTTTTAATGTGATTTTTTTCTACAGTATTCAAATCTGTTTTTTAGATCCCATTTCATAAAAATCTTCACTGAAATAAGATTGATTTGTAATTTTATTTCTAAACATCACTTGTTATCGAAAGATCCACTGACATCAAATGTTTTCAGCTTAGTTTTGTTTTCCAGGAATTACGTCTTATTTATGAGAGAGAGAGAGAGAAACGCATTTCAAAGCCAGTAGGTAATTCTAACTACAGATCAAGTCTAAATATTTTGGTGAAATATCACTTTAAGGAGAATATACTTGGATTACCTTCTACATATACTTAAAATTGGTCATAATTAAAGGTGTGAGAGTAAATCAAAATTTTTAATTGAAAAAAAAATTGTATCAAATTAATTTCTATTTATTTTATAGTGAGTAAACTGAAATGCTTATGTCATCAATTTTAAGTCGTAACATTACATTAGTTTGTAGTTATTTGGCTTTTGATGCTTAAAGCTACGAAACGACATGAGAAGATACACCTCCCCAAATCTTAACATCAATCAAACTTGCTTTAAACTCGTCCACTTTTTCACCTTCAGTAGAGGTAGGGCCTCAGGCCATGACCTACTGCGCGTATGAATCTCGCGCGAAAGCAGCCTGAAGGCCTGCGCACTGAGAGCATGCTCATAAGCGGCTAACCCTTGGCGCCGCAATCACTGCGGTTAGATCCACAGCTGATGGGTGAGTCGGTGGTCACTGGGCCCATTTCATCACGTTAGTGTTATTATTTCTGTAGTTAGAAACATACTATTAAGGCACCCCCATTTAAAATAAGAATACTGCAACATTTTTGTAGTTCATAAGTAGTTGTTTGGGGACTTTATGAAGACACGTCTCGGTTCTGTCCAACCATAACTACGGCTCAACAGCGCGAGAACCGGAGGATCGACGATTGGTGCCGTTCGGCTGTTGGGAATCTCCGAGAATTACAGATTGTATAAGACGTAGCTTGATTTAGGTGATGTACTGATGTAAGTGATTAAAAACAGAAAGATACTTGTAAGTGGGGATAAAGCAAGATGTCTTTAAAGCAATTTTAATAAACGTAGATTTAAACTTACTTTTGCTCATGTAGGAAAACTTGTAACTTTTTTTTAAAGTCTGTATTCCTTTAAAATTAATATATTTGAATTATTTTCCCACTAAAGCTGTAAATACTATTATAAAATAATTAGTTTGGATTAAGTTGTTGTGTTTTTGTTTTTGTCTTGTTTTTTCTCCTGGGACGAGCTATCATGTTTTAAACGTTTAAGATTAATATCGAGGATGAATTAAAGCATTTCTCTGGTCATATATTTCGCATGACTTGTTGTTTACGGTCTTGTGACCTTTAACTATCATAACAGCACAGATAATAACAATCTATAACCCGCACAGTTACAGAGGGCCCGGTGGATCTACTTTCACTCCTAATAGAAAATCCTTATCCACTGATTGCGCTGGTATGATTTTTGTTTTACCAATAATTGAACATGGAGAACTTCAAATTTACTATAAACCTTTCAACTAAACTATAGTAAAGAGCATGAATAAACCTGCATTTATTTGTAGTTCATGCTACCAGAAGAGTAGACTAGTACATGCCACTTGTTCAGAAGACGTAAGTGTTGTATAACGAATGACATTACTGCGTTTAAGTTAAGAGTGTTTTCCTAGAATGACATAAGAGCAGATTAGATAAGTAATTAAACATTACAACGTGGAATAGCGGGTAGAAATAACGCGTTGCTATGTAATCCTTGTGGTTCATGAGACATGCTTTTATGTATTTGTTTTTTTAAATCTCTTGCGAAACTGTTACACGAAAGCGGATTTATCTATCTTTTAGATAAAGCTTTAAGAATATTGAAACTTCTTTTGACAGCTTTAGGATGTTTAGGAAAGGGGGGGATGGAAAATAGTATTAAACTCCGATATCAACTGAAAATTCAATTTTATTGAATTGGGAGAATATTACGAGATGTTGAGATTAAAACTTTGTGGAATTTATACGATAAATTTTCTTTAACTGATATCTCTGATCAATGTATTGGAAAAACAACTGTGTTGCTCTTTTGCGTTTCTTTATGGCTCTTTTACTGAATTTTTGAAAGTGCAAGCTATTTCTTGTTTTAAACGGTTATTCTCTATAGTATAGTAAGTTAAATTAATTAAATGTAGTTGCATTAGTTACATTAGCCTTGTTTCCTCCATAGTCTTAGCTTCCACGATAAACAACTGAAGTTATCACTACTTTGGTATTAATTTAATTTAGTGGTTTTATGTTTGCGTATTTGAAAATAGTGTCACAGTTACATAAGCTCGCAATGTATAATTTCTTATCTGTAGATGTGATTTACTTCGATTTTAAAAAGAAACTTGTTAATAGCTCGTACCAAGTTTCTCATTGTACACGTACTGTTTTACAAAGTAAATTTTCTGGTAAAGTTGCTGACGAGGAACCGCCACGCTCTGTCTGAACAAGAAGACTGCAATCGAATAATGTACACCTTGTTTCGTTAGTGATTTATCGAAGCGCTAATCATTATAGGTCGACAAATGTTAGTATCTGATCTAATTAGTGTTGAGAATATTTTAGGTCATTGTAATTGAAAAATTTCCATAATTAGTCGTGTACTTCGTTGGCTGTTATTAAAGTTTGTGTAAGCAATTTCTTCACATTGTTTCCTGAAGCACCTTCCTGTCATTTATTTCAGTCTTCAGACGTGTTTTTCTAGCTGCTTGTTCAGTCTTCTATGCGTGCGCGCATAGAAAATATCTTATGGAGATAAACCTCAAAGAGCAGACGGGAAGCGTTTATAAAGATTTTGTCAACATGTCATACTGCAAAATAACCTAATTTGAAAGCAAGGATTTGAAACCTGCATATTTTGAACAAGTTCAGTGTTGCAGAGTTTCTAGTAAATAGCAATCTAGTCATGATATTGTTGGATTCATGAAATCTTAATTGTAAAATCATTACCATGTTTGTGTGACCAGTACTAAAGGTCAATAATACGTTAATGGGGAAAAAAAACCTAAAAAAAAAATGTGCTGAAGGCTCTCGAACCGGACGTATTTCTTGTTTATGACTTTAAGTAAATCTTTGACGCATTGTACAATTCTGGTTCTCTGCCTTAACATATTTGATCGTACTTGCCAGAGTTCAAGTCATGGGACGAAGTTAACTGTGATCTATTGAATACGATCTCTGTAGAGCATCATATGAACTGAATGATGTAACTTTCGGTTGTGGTGATTTGTCAACGAAATATTGACAGGGTGCTAGTTATTTATTGTAGTATAGAACATTAGTGTTATTAATAGTGAACAAGTTGTTAATACGAAACTTTTTCTAGCTGTTAACGTTTTAACTTAATCTCTTCTGTAACTTTCTCGTTCCGAAAATTTGATCCCCGTAAAAAGGTTATAAATGTAATTTCATTTAGGCATTGTAATAAATATATTGATTTCCACATCCTGTAATATGAAGCAAGTTGTTGATTAAAACTACGTTTTTATTTTTAAAAATTTAATGTTACTTAAATACTTGATGTAATAAGTCTTGAGAATTATTTTCGGAAGATCTATCAGATTAGCGAATTTCCTAAACTATTTCCGAGTCCATAGGAAGAAGTGAACTATTTGATTAAAAACAAAAAATAACAAAGCACCACTTAATGGTTAATCTTTTAAAAAGAACATCATTGTTATTCTTGCACGTAATTTACTCACGAGATTAACTTGAAGGTTATTTTATGTCATTAATTTTCCTCCAATGTAAATCGAGAAGTGCGTAAAAGAAACGTGGCTTTAAGCATTTGGTTATCATAATCATCATAAATACTATAAAAAATACTCAAATTATTAATAGAGAACAATAAATTCTGTGATGCCAGTTTAACTTTCTTGTTTCTTAATTTCTAAAATCTTAATCGTGTAATTGAAGGTTGATTATTTGGTTTTTATTTTCGAAAATTTGTAAATAACACCGGCCTTTGACTAAATACTGTAACGTGTTTGGAGGTATGAAATAGGTAACCAATAACATATGCGTGTTCTATTTCAGCAGTTCTAAAGATAATTATTTCAAAACTGTATCATTAACTTCTTTTCGTGGTGTTTAACAGAATACTATGATCATCTAATACATTTAGGTACCCATTGATATCAGCTCTGCCATATTTTTCATTCTCGTTGTCCTAGCAAATTGGTAAAACTACTCCAAGCACCATTGTACAAGATTTGCATAACCAGACACGAAAAGTTTTTTCTTGCTAAATACCTTAATAGTCCATAAGTTTTTCTCAAAGCGTAGATGTCTCATACACTTGGCACTGTGGAGAGCTGATGGCTAGTTTTCGTATTCCGTGGGTAAGATTTTTTGGAGTTTCTTTCATGACCAGTATTGGTTAGAATGTTCAATATCTCTAGTTTTATTTATTTTTATTTTTTTATTATACTTTCATTATGAAGATGTTTGCATTTCTAACTTAGTATATGTAATTAGAACTAATCTAAACTTCCTAAGTTAGCCGAAACCCGTGCGATATCGGGACTACGGTTGAAAATGTTAGCAGCCGGGGTACGAAAGTGTAATTTAAATAATAATTTGAGTATTTCAATTGGTTATAGTCCTTACCAATACCAGATTTAATTTTAGTTTCGCTCTAAAGCTCTAAGCATGTCGCTTGCTCTGATCTGAAGTTTAATATATGTTAATGAGAATGTTGTTCAACATATTTCTAGACTAAACTCCTTTTTTACCTTTTAGCCTCTTGCTACATGCTATTGTAATTCTGGATACACTATTACGGTACTGAAAAGACCAGACTTACTGGAGACAGGCGGACTGATCCGTGTTAATTGCAGGCTAGTATACTGGTCGGTTAACTGTCAACTGATCTTATCGACGAAAGGCCAGTGAACTGGTCAATTCAGCGGGAGACCAGTGCTGGAATAGAAAGGCAAGGATGGTGGAAGCAGAGGAAACGTCTCAAGGTTCTACTAGAAAGCTTTCCTGTAAAACATTAACTGTTGTGAAACCCTTTCCATGTAGAGGGAAGACGGCAATGTTTTGGTTTGTTGCAGTATCATTTGTACTATTAGAAAAAGGTGCACAGGCGCACACATACACCATTGAAGAACTATTGAATACAACCTTCCCACACAAAGTATCAAATGATATCTACCTCGATCCTTGTAAATCTGGTAAGCACTAATTAATCGGAACTTTTTAAAAAGTAATTTTGAAGAATTTTACTCATCACTTTTAAAAGAGCTTGAACTTTAGTTAACCGTATCAAAGTAATTGCTAAACATTCTTTGAATGTACTTGTTTGCTTGGAGAGAGGGAGAGACGAGGCTGAGAGCGACAACCAAAACACAAGATTGTACGATAACTGTCTGTGATAAATTGTATTTTTGTAATTGAATTTCATTTTTGGCCTGAACAAAATGTAATTGAATCTTCTCGTATCGTTCACTTTAACTTGTGTAATTTAAAACTTATTTAACTTGTGTAATTTCCTTAAGTTCTATTAATGCCCTTTAATTTAAGTCCGTAGTATTAGTCGAGATGGTGACAGTGTGATAGTTTGGTATTTCCATAATTAGTTGCTGCAGACTGTAATAAATATATATATATATATATATCGTGAAAATTATTTCATTGTTGTGTACTTATGTTTGACATCTTGAAACTTCTAGGTAAAATTACGTGAACATGCGTAGTTTAAAGATTAATATTTATAAAGTTAAGATTATTGTTAAAATACGAACCTAAAAATACCAATGAAGGGAGGGGAGTTACGTACGCCGTCATCTTTTAAACTCATTTTTCTAAACTATATTTGAGTCCAGGACTTTGCAGGCTAGAGGGGGTACCTAATATCCTGAGTAACAACTTAGTCAATATTGCAACAACCTACTGCTGGGAGTTTTGTGCGGCATTTTTAAAGTTCTTTACACAGGATTATTTGTGAAAAACAACTACTAAATATTGAGTTGTGCAAGAATAGGTTTCTTATAAACAAGTGGTTCACGTGCCTTTCGTGTAATAAGATCCCGAACTGCAAGCGTTCGAGCTTTTCAAGGGCTTATCTTCAGGTGAGCATTATCTTTTAAGAACACTATTTGTGGCAATCTCTAAGAAAGTTTTCTAACGTTGATTTAATTTGTATTGTAAGTTAAGTTAGGTTTTAGAGTAACTAATTCGGTGAATAATCCTAATCGGCTTAGTTGTTAGAAGTTGCACATAGATTATATTATGTTAAACTAATTTCTAAACGTCAGCTTACTGCATTTTAAGAGTAAAACACAACCCTCGTTTTTCTTGGCTCAACGAACAAAATTGCCTTTGTTCGCTTATAACGACAACGTTTAGGGGTTTGGTAGTACTACATAAACTGCAAGTAACCTATAAAATTATATCTTGAATTTAAGAAAAATTACACAGTACTTCAACATAATCTCACAGCTTTATCTAATGAAAATTACATAGTACTTCAACATAATCTCACAGCTTTATCTAATGAAAATTACATAGTACTTCAACATAATCTCACAGCTTTATCTAATGAAAATTACATAGTACTTCAACATAGTCTCACAGCTTTATCT